TGCTGCAAATCAGCCCGTAAGTCTCTTTCAGCCTTTCCCCACGATTAGTATATGTTTCCTCACACGCCCTTTTGTTATTGATACAAGAAATTTACCTCGCTTGCTGTAGGCTTGCTCAGCCACTTGCAAAGGTGAAGCTGGAGAAGTTAGAAGCGAATCTCACTAGCAAAAAAAAGAAGAAAATCTCCAAAGACCCTGATGACATGCCCATTTCACATCTGAGAGCAAGTGTTGGGAGAAACAAGGTCGTCCGCAAGAAACTCTTCTAGACCCCCATCCGTCCTCATTTTCGTGAACTCCTTTTGTACTGCTTTTAGCGTTGATTGTTGTTTAAACATCTATCTTTTGGCTGCTTCACGTGGTTCGCAGTCATGGTCAAGTACTTCCTTTCTATTTTGCTGACCTGGAATCACTCTGTAATTCGAGGGAACACTTGAAACTGTCTGTGTCCTGCCACCGTATCCATATTTATACCTGGTGGCCCTATTTTGTTATCTAAACCCTCAACTCAGCGTTTCCGCTTCTGTTTCACTGTAAAAGAATTCTTCGTTTCGATCCTGTAACTTTTTATCATGCCTACCTACATATATGCTCGCTAGCCTGGTCCAATGGGAGGAGGACTTTAGAAAATCGTGTTGCTTTTCAGCTTCGTCTTAATAAGCAGTCCTTCCAATTTGTATGTCGGATGCTTTTGTTTGAGACCATAATCCATTGTCGCCATTCGATTGCTATACAGGCTGCAAGATTTCAGAACAACACGACTAACCAACCATACAAGACAAGGATTTTTTGTTTCATTCCAAACCTTGGGTGCCACTTTACTGGTTCTTGGATGTGATTGCGGTGATCTTTTCTTCCCATGCACATTGCCAGAAAAAGTACTCCTTTACAGGTTAGGTGATTACCATCATTCCTTTATCTTACCATCACTCTATAGATTTTTGCAAATCACATTCTCTTTTCTTGCCTGCCAAGTTATAGGTGTGCTATGTAAGGCTCATGCCAGTTCAACGTCTTCCACCCCCACAATATCCCAATCAATTTTTACCATGGTTTGTTCTCTGCCACCTTTGTTATTTCCTTTGCTGCAGTCTTTGCCTTCTTCTCTCCCAGGATTAGATGTTTTTGTTCTGATCGGTTCAATCTTTTTCATCAGCATCTTTAGACTGTTGCTCATTGTGTGTTTGCTGTTGAGTTCAGAACAAAGAAATTATGGTAGGTGGTGGTCTACTCCCTCAGGTTACCAATTCTTCTTAACCTTATCTTTCAATTTCACATTTTTGGGACTATGCTCCATCATTGCAAGTTACGCACAGTTCTAGATTCCTTCCCGTGAACTGATAACTTATCCACTGTGAAGAAAAAGCCCTTTTGATTTCCACTAATCTTTGTGTTTAGTGTTGTTTCCCTTTGCCATTATCAGTGTAGTTGTGAATTCGGTCGTTGCTTCCATAGAGGTCATCTGCCATCCATACTTTTACAGTTTTTTTTACCACACACCCTTACTTCGGTTTATCACCTCCTCCGCCATTCCTACATGATTTCCAGTGCTGCCTCTTTCTTCCATGATTCACATACTCGCATCTGCCAGCCCTATGTTCTTTATTTGTTTGCAAGATCAGCCAATGGTTATACTTGGCTATAATTTTTTTGCATCTATTATTGCCCAGGTTGTTCCCTCACAACAAAGCAAGGATGGTGCCGACTCTTCATATTCGGCATCCTACAGACGGCCTATCACTGATCGAAGGGGAAGGAAACCAAAATCTACACCAGAACATTTTCGATCCATGGTCAGTAAACCATCGGGTGAAGAACATGCGATGAGTCCCCTTACAGGTCCTCATTCGCAAACTCAGCAACCTCCTACTCCAGCAAATATTGGCAAAAAACGCAAGAAAACCTCAATAGGCCCAAAAGGAACGGATGGGGTCCACAACCAGGCAGTACAAGGCCATACAGAACCAGGTTCATCCTCATTCTCTATGTTCCTGCAGCAGGATCCTCCTTCTATTCCTGCTGCAGGTGATCAACAACAGGGCACACACTTCTGTGATGATGACATTCTGGATTTTGGCCTCCCACAATGTGCTTGCCCATACTGCGGAGCTATGTTCTTGTATGATGAACACCTCGAACGACACCGCAACACGACCATGCCCATCTTTGCTCTTTGCTGCAATCATGGGAAGGTCGCTCTCCCTCTTCTCAAACAGACTCCACCCTATCTTGATAGTCTTCTGGATCCGCATGGAGGCCCCCAATCGAAGCACTTTCGCAAGGAAATCAGGCCCTACAACGGCATGTTCTCCATGAGTTCTGTTGGTGCTAAACTAGATCGGCGAGTCACCAATTCTTCGGGTCCATACTCTTTTGTTATTTGTGGAGAAAACTACCATCATATGGGCTCTTTATTGCCCCCAGAGGGAAAGAAGCCCAAATTCTCACAGCTCTACGTGTTTGACACAGAGGACGAGGTTGGCGATCGCCTTTCCAATTTTTCATCCACCAATCTGGCTCTCAAGCCTCAGATTGTTGATGGGCTCATTAAAATGTTTGACGCAACAAATGAGCTGGTGAGGAGTTTTCGGCGCGTAGCTAGGGAGGTTCAGGACCCAGCTAATCACAACCTTCGTCTGCGAATAGTTGGTGCTCGACAGGCTGCCAATCGACAGTATGATCTACCTGCTGGCTCTGACATTGCAGGCCTTATACCTGGTGACTTTGACGCAGAAGAAGATGGTAGAGACATTATCATAAATCACCGAGAAGAAGGCTTGCAGCGAATTAATTGCTTGAATCCAAAATATCATGCTCTGCAATTCCCTGTTCTTTTCCCATATGGGGAAGATGGGTTCCATCTTGGAATAAGATGTAATCCTGTATATATGTCGCGTGGGGCCAAGAGGCAGAATGTAACTGAAAGAGAGTTCCACGCTTTTCTCTTGCAACACCGTGAAGGTGAAGGTCAGAGTCTCATGCGGGGAGGGAAGGCTTTGCAACACTATTGTGTGGATGCGTTCTAAACTATCGAGCAGAATCGCCTTAAATTTTTGCGGCTCAACCAAAAACTCCTACGAGCCGAAATGTACAAGGGACTTTGTGATGCTTATAACAAGGGGGACACAACTGGAAAAGGAGTTGGAACGATCCTTCCAGCAACATATACTGGTGGTCCTCGGTATATGAAACATCAGTATCTTGATGCCATGGCGATTTGCAGGCGTCTTGGAAACCCAGACCTGTTTATCACATTCACCTGCAATGCACAGTGGCCAGAGATTACTCAAGCATTTGCGCAAACTGTCAGTCTGAAGCCAGAGGACAAACCAGACATAGTTGTTCGTGTGTTCAGGATGAAAGTTTTTGCTCTTAAGGCACAAATCAATCGCAAACATTTTTTTGGCAAGACAGTAGCAGGTTTGTCATTAGAAACCTCCAATTGTCTCCCTCTTGACTTTTTTACCTACACGCATTGCATTAGTTTGCCACACAGTTCAATTCAAATTTCAAACCATGGCTCACCATCCAACCTTTTCATCCTTGGCAGACATACATACGATCGAGTTTCAAAAGCGTGGTCTGCCACATGTGCATCTACTGGTTTGGTTGCATGAGAATGACAAGCTGAAAACAACCGAGGCTATCGATGCTACTATATCTGCTGAACTACCAGATCCAGAAAAAGATCTGCTTGGCTATGCTACTGTTGCAAAATTCATGCTCCATGGACCGTGAGGTCAGTCTAATCAGAAGTCTCCATGCATGAGGGAAGGGAAGTGTAAGAAGTTCTTCCCAAAGGCCTTTAACTCATCGACCACATACGATCAAAATGGGTATATTGTTTATCGTCGGCGGAATGATGGCCGCACCTTTGACAAGGGTAATGGTGTTCTTGACAATCGCCATGTTGTTCCTTATAATCGCAACCTCTTGGTCATGTTCCAGGCTCATATAAACGTGGAAATATGCCACAAAGGGAGGCTTATCAAGTATCTTTTCAAGTATGTCACCAAAGGACCCGATCGAGCCACAGTCGTAGCTGAAAATTGTGCATCCCAGCATGCACCCAACTCAGATGCCTCATCACGAAATGTGCATGATGAAATAAAGCAATACTTGGACTGTAGAGTTTTGTCATCCTTCGAAGCAATGTGGCGGATATATGAGTTTCCAATACATGAAAGAACTCCCTCGGTTGTTTGTCTTCCTGTGCACTTGAAGTACCTCTTCGATCAGTCGTGGAGGACCCAGAAAAGTCGAAGACCATGCTCACTGAGTACTTCACTCTTAATCGCATGGACCCACAGGCCAGATCATTTACCTATGCTGATATTCCTACAGCATATACATTTCATCTTCGACCGAAGCATTGGGCTAGGAGAAAACAGGGCTATGCCATCGGGCGTATCATTTTTATTCCACCAGGAACCACTGATGTATACTTCCTCCGCATGTTACTTACAAAGGTTAGTGGTGCAACTAGCTTCAAAGACCTTATGACAGTCGATGGTGAACCCTGTAAAGATTATAATGAAGCATGTCTCAAGCGAGGCTTCTTAATTGACGATGGTGAACCTCAAGCAACCATAGGAGAGGTTGGGGAATGGGGAATGCCAGCTCTGCTCCGATCTTTGTTTGTCATGATTCTGGTGCATTCTGAGGTTGCTTACCCGAGAAAGTTGTTCGAGGCTAACTGGCAGCTTTTTGCTTATGATTTTTCTTATCGTACCCGACGTGGTATGGAGCTACAGCATTTCCAGCCGCCACCTCAGTATCTGCGTGATGAGGTCATTAGACACATCGACAGTCTGCTCCATAGCCATGGTAGGACCCTAGACAATTATAATTTACCACACCCTCTCCACACTGCAGACATAGTGGTTGGGAACAGGCTCATTTGCGAACAACTGAACTACGATGTCTGCTTGCAACAACGAACAGCTGATGAGATCTATGCAACTCTTAATCGCGAACAGAGTGAGGCGTACAAATGCATTATGGGTTCTGTGGAACATGGGCTTGGGAGGTTCTTCTTCCTTTATGGACATGGTGGAACAGGGAAAACATATTTGTATAATACAATTATTGCCAAGCTTCGCAGCCAACATAAGATAGCTTTGGTTGTTGCATCGTCCGGCATTGCAGCGACCTTGCTGCCAGATGGTTCTACTGGTCATTCCCGGTTCAAGATACCAATAGATGTCGATGCTTCTTCTACGTGCAAGGTTAAAAAGGGGACTCACCTTGCCGAACTTCTGCAGCAAACTTCGCTCATTGTATGGGATGAGGCACCTATGACTCATCGCTTTTGCTTTGAAGCTCTAAGCAAGACCTTATGCGACGTCATGGATCTGCCCTCTACCGGAACTTCTTATAGGCCATTTGGTGGGAAGACAGTCTTCTTGGTGGGGATTTTCGTCAGATTCTACCAGTCATACCTGGCGGCGGCCGCGAGGAAACCCTCAATGCATCAATCATACGTTCGCCCTTGTGGGCTCATTGCAACCTTTTGTGTTTGCAGGAAAATATGCGCATAAATTCGGATGCAGTAAATCAGGAAGCAATCTTCAACGGTATGACATTCGCACAATGGGTTCTCACAGTTGGGAACGGTCTTCTACCTGTGAGGTCCTTGGATGAGAACTCTGAAAGAAGTTGGACCACAATTCCTCATTATCTGATCTTACCACCTAATGGCACATCCATTCAACCGGTTGTTGATTTCGTGTTCCATGGACTGGTTGACTTTTACAGGTCAGTTTCCTACTTGAAGAATCGTGCTATAATCACCCCACAAATGAAACAGTGTCTACCATTAATGATGTTGTTCTTTCCTACATTCCTGAGAAACCCAAGAACTACTACAACATAGATAGTTTGTGTACTGAATCAACCGACAAGTCGGACTTGTACTCCCTGTACCCCATTGAATTCCTGAATTCACTTTCCTTCAATGGGATGCCTGAACATGAACTTACTCTCAAACTGTATACGCCTATCATGCTGCTTCGAAACATTGATCCGCCGGCTGGTATGTGCAATGGAACTCGGTTGATGATAACATATCTTGGGCAGAATGTCATCAAAGGAATTATACTCACTGGTACACACGAGGGCACAGTGGTTGCTATACCGAGAATTGCTCTCAACTTCAGCGATCCAAAATGGCCATTTACATTGAAGCGTAGGCAGTTTCCGGTTCGACTCTGCTATGCCATGACGATCAATAAGAGTCAAGGCCAGACTCTAGAAAAAGCAGGGGGTTTTCTACCGAAGCCTATTTTCAGCCATGGCCAGTTGTATGTTGCAGTTTCTCGAGTTCGATCAGCAGCAGGCCTTAGATTCCTCATACATAACGATGATAGCCTGCCATCGGACTGTACCAAAAATGTTGTGTACACTGAGATTTATGATGAACTATCGTTCCCTGGTGAGTTTGAACACCTTTAATATGTATTTCCATAGTTGATTTTAGCTCCAGACTAAACATTCCATTCTCATTGCATTCTACTGGGTGCAGGTTTATGTGGAACGGGGGAAGATTCATAGGTACTTTAAAACCACACAACTACACACATATTGTTCCTGCAGCATGGAAAGAAGTTTCCAAATGTCTTACCTCGCATATAACCTGGATGTCCTTTTTTTCTCATATAAAATGCATAGCAGGTTTCAGGCTTTGTGGATAACTGAGTTATGTGAGTGAACTATGATTGTTTGCTTTCTTAATGGCGAGGTAATGGCTGCAGGTTCTGGGATTCTCCAATAGACCTGCTGGAGAACTTTTTGCTCGCTCCCATCACCTCTACCCACAGAGCCATTTTTTGCGTGAATGGCATGGTTGTTTTCGCTATCCGTCTACTACCCGTGAACATGGTTTGGTGCTTCCAGCTCCAAAGTCCACCTGCAGATACGACCTGCCGGATATAGTAACAGAGGGAAGCTTTTGCAAATCGTGACCGAGGTGGCCATGTTTTTTTTTTCAATCATTACCTGTGTTGAATAACCTGTGCCTGAAGTGGTTCTTCTTCCTAACTGTACTGTTTTCGATATGTACTCTCCTAGGTTCATGTTGTAGAGCTAAGTTTGTAAGGAAATGGGAACCATTTTGTTCTCATGTACTATGTAGACTTCAGGGCCACATGTGCTAACATGAATTTCAGTTTGAATATATTTTACCTCTCCTTTGCATTAGAAGGACACTTACAGGACTTTGGTGGCCGAGAAATTAGAAAGCAATGCTGAAATAGTGGTGGTACGAACCCATACACAAAAAATGAGATACTAGGAAGCTGTGTAATAAATTGTGTTGGGATGCAATTGCACTCTAAAGCAGTAGAAGGTCAGATGCGAGATTTGAACGCCAATTCTCCTGATACAACACGACGATGTAAGTTATTTTGCAAGAGCGGTGACACGCCAAAACACAACACCAAACTGCGACCAAGTGTAATCGCAGAATGGGACTGCAGTATAGTGGCACAAGTAATAAATATCGAATCCACGGGTCTCTAGAGTTACTATTACTCAGCTTCAGTTCATTATCTAGCAAACTAGATTAAGGATTGATCAACTAAACTACTCTACTAACTAAACTAAGTAAAACTACTAATTACAGTTTGGGAACTCACTTAGGTATGATTCCCCCTAGCCCCTCAATTAGGTCCAAGTTGTAATTCCTTTTGGTTGTTTTACTGTTGATTACACTGCGGAAGATCCGACAGTAGCTTGGAATCTCTTAAGCTGACCAAGCCCTCTCAGTCTAACTACCCGGCAGGCGACTAACCTTCACCGGGGTAGAAAGCTGAAGCAGTAAGAACAGAACTCCACTACTGGAATTAGATTCCAGTACAAAGCAGTAAACTGGCTAACTCTCGTATAGCCAATCTCCTACTATCGAATGATGAGGCTCTAGCAACCTAATCAGATTCTATCTATCTCAGGTTGCAGCAGAAATCAGGAAAAGTTGATCAGACTTCAATTGACTCAACAAACATGCATCATTCGATTATAATCAAACAATATAGCATCCAAAACTTCATACAAGAAAGATCCTAGCTCATGAAACTAGGGTTCCTCAAAACCTAAGTGAAGGGAAGTTACTCCATAGAGAAGAGAGAGACTGCAGAAATCTGATCTAGATCTTCAATCTCCATCTCCAAGCTTGATTCCCGAGCTCCAATGGCGAAGAAATCCTCCAAAATAGCTCCAAGAATGTCTCCAAGTCGCTCTCTCTCTCTAGGGTTCGTCCCTTGGGTGTTTGGGATCCAAAACCCAGCTCTCCTCTTCTGTTGCTCGAATCTGCCTTCAAAAACCCGACTCTGGGCGAATTACGGGCAGAATTACGGCCGTAATCACGTCCTGCCCGTAATTCGCACCAAAACGCGCGTTTCACTTAAGCTGCAGGAGGAGAAGTTACGCCCGTAATTTCCCAATTACCGCCAGTAATTTGGGAATTACGGCCGTAATTCTTGGGGTCTTGCCCGTAATTTTATCACCGCGAGGGAATTCTGGGTAGAAGGCTCGGCCAATAAATTACGGGCATGCCCTGGCCAATTACGGCCGTAATTAGGCAGGGGCTGCCCGTAATTCTCTCTGTGCTTCTGTTCAAAGCTTCGTTTCTCCCTCGTCCGGACTCCAAATCAGTCGCCGTTTGAACCCAGACGCTCGTAGTCTCGTCCTCTTTCTTTTCATGACAAGCTTGCATGATTCTTTGTCCATAAAGTGAGGTAGAAATCCATTCTTCTTCAGGTCTTACCCGAGTTTCTTCTCCCGAATCGTCAATTGATCTCTGATTGACCCGAAACTTGCTCCCAAGCCTCCATTCACGTACTAGGACCTGAAATATCACAAACAAGCACAACCTAGCGTGAAATCGGCCTAAAACACGAGAAATCACATCTCAAACGGTGTAAGAACAGGGGTAAAAACATGTGTAATTATCGGTCTATCAAGCGGGCACCGAAACAAATAGATATAGGGGATAAGATTAAAAAGGTAACGCAACATTGATAGCCATATGAAAATTGGAAAAGAAAGAGGAAGAGGCAGAGTAAGAAACCACACGACTGAACAATTGAAGCAACTATCGATTTTGATTTTTGAATTACAATTGCTGCGTGATTGAAAAGCATTCGGAAGGTGGAGATGTTGGTTGTATGGAGAGACGATCGTCGGCGTTGAAAATTGGTGGCCCTCGGGTGTCATTGGTTATAGGTTGCTGTCACCATCGCCCTTCGGGTTCTATCAATAATGTTTTTATTCGTCGCTGCTGGTATAAATTCCGTCGACAACACATCGACTGCACCACCCAAAGTCTGTTCCCGCCGAATTCATCCAATTTTGCGGTCAAATTCCAATTCTGTGGGGGTCTGCCTTGAGTCACCGGTGGCGGATCGCAATTCAAGCCGCAGACACACACCGCCACGCAGCCTTTGCAATGGAAAATCTTTAGCCGACAAGGAAGTTAAAGAGTTCTTCAATACGTTGGTTGGATAACTTGGATTGATAATTGCACGCAGTGGTTTTCGGGGGATGGTGTTGTTTAAATGGTGATCCATTTTTTGCAAAGTAGGGGTACGTAATTGGCAATTATTTGGAGTTTGAAATTAGCGAGAGGGTGTGGTGGTTTTCTGGGTTGAAACTTTAATTCCAAGATATGAAGATATATTGTCCGTGAAGAGGACTGGCGATGGAGTTGCTTCGGCTGTGCTGATGTGGAAGCATTAGGGGAAGGGAATTTTGAATCCGTGAAGGCGTAAATGAGAAACCCCTTATTTTAGATTTAGATTTAGATTAGATTAAATTAAATTTAGATTTTAGATTCATTTACACAATCTGGAACTTTAAACTTTAAAGGGTGTGCCAAACACGACTACATAAGATGGCGTAAGAAGCCAGAGGCCCGAACTAAAAGGTAAGGCCTTTCAGAAGTTTGGTTTTTTTCCGACCTGCTAAACCAGAGTTTACATTCCTTGCGGATGCTTCCATACGCCAACGCCCATGTTTTCTGCTGTCCTTGCCCTGATCCTCTGGATTAGGATAGCGCCTCTCCTCTGTCTTCCCGAATTCCGGTTCTGCTTCTTCAATCAATTTTCATTCCACTTCCACCTTACCTCTTTTGCCTCTGTCCATGAGAAGAACGGCTGACTACATGCGTCAGTTAACGATTGCTCCACCATAACACCTTTGTTCTACTTCTACATTGTTTAGTCCCTTCGCCAGTTGCCTTCAATTGTACTTGATGGGAGACAAATGGTTTCTCCCTCCATAATTTCATTCTTTTCTCTTGCAACGCATACCCTCAAATTTCCCCGCTACTGGCCACCGTGGAACCCAAAAGAAGAGGAAGCCGAGATCAAATTGGAATAGGAGGCAATGGGGAGAGAAGCTCATCGTGCCCTGCAAATTTGTACTCGATCAATCACACTCAATTGCCTCAGCTCATTCCACACCTCCTCGCCCTGAACATTGCCCCGTTCACGCTACCTCAGTCAACAACCATTAACTCAGTTACCATGCCTCGCCCAACCTGCAACCCCTCTTCCACGCTGCATCGTTTCCATGGTGATGAATCTTTTCATCTTTTATTCACAGCGGTTTCCTCATCTCTGCCTGTACAGTCACTTCAGTCCTCCTCGGAAGACACAACCCATGCCTTGGCTGCTTGCCGTGCTTTAAAACCAGGATGGTTGACGCTTAAGAGAGGAACAACTCCATCCATCCTCACTACCAAGGCACACAATCGCAAATCCTCCACCAAACTCCCACATAGCCACGACCGTGAACGTCGCACGCGATGTCGTCTGAATATAGCTTGATCCTTGCTCCTCAAGGTTTGCCTCTCTTATGTCTGTTCTGCTCGGTTCATCC